GGTGTCACGCTGAAAGCCCTCCCTATTTTAGGGTTAGGGCAAGGAATAGATGAACCCCCAAAATATCATGTCACCATATTATTGTGTTGGACTTGATTAATATCCTTTTATTTGGTTGAATTTATTTATTTATATTCCTTGGGGATATGTCTCCATTTCTACCCCATAGTACGTTGCCGTAAATAATTCCTTCCATAAATTAGTGGGTTTCATTAAGGAGAAGAAAAAACGTAGTGAAACAAATTTAGAATTTCCACAAATTTCAATTACCCAAAAACTAAATAATGAAAAATTACAAAAAACCTCAAGACCACACTTTCTATGCAACTTACCCCAACTTAATTTTTTCTCACACATTTGTCCTGCAAATACCCCCAAGGCAAAAGTTCATTTTTTAGACGGAAATGCCCTTCCCTTACACAAATCATTTTGGCCAAATTTAATGACTTTTGCACCCAATAGCACATTGTTGTCGGACGCCCTTTGCAACTAGTGGACCCCCTTTGCAACTAATGGACCCCCTTTGCAACTAGTGAAACCCCTTTCGCAACTATCGGACCGTCCTTCGACAACTACCGGACCATCCTTCCGCAACTACCAGACCGTCCTTCCGCAACTACCAGACCGTCCTTTGGCAACTACCGGACCGCCCATTGGAACCTACTGGACCGCCCTTTGGCAAGTATCGGATCGCCCTTTGGCAACTATCGGACCGCCCTTTGGCAACTGTCGGACCGCCACTGCCGCTGAACCTCCTTTTGTCAACTACCGGACCGCCTTTTGGCAACTACCGGACCGCCTTTTGGCAACTACCGAGCCGTCCTTTGGCAACTACCAGACCGTCCTTTGGCAACTACCAAACCGTCCTTTGGCAACTACCGGACCGCCCTTTGTCAACTACCGGACCGCCCTTTGGCAACTACCAGACCGCCACTGCTACTGAACCGCCTTTTGGCAACTGACCACCTTTTGGCAACTGACGAACCGCCACTGCTACCGAACCGCCTTTTGGCAACTACCGGACTGCCTTTTGGCAACTGTCGGACCGCCCTTTGGCAACTGCCGAACTGTCCTTTGGCAACTGTCGGACCGTCCTTTGGCAACTACCGGATCGTCCTTTGGCAACTACCGGACCGTCCTTTGGCAACTACCAGACCGCACTTTGGCAACTACCGGACAGCCCTTTGGCAACTACCGGACCGCCCTTTGGCAACTACCGGACCGCGCTTTGGCAACTATCGGACCGCGCTTTGGCAACTATTGGACCGCCCTTTGGCAACTATCGGACCACTCTTTGGCAACTACTGGACTGCCCTTTGGCAACTGATGGACCGCCACTGCTGCCGAACTGCCTTTTGGCAACTGCCAAACCGCCTTTTGGCAACTGCCGAACCGCCCGCCTTTTGGTAGCCTTTTGGCAACTACCGGACAGCCTTTTGGCAACTGCCGAACGACGTTTTACAACTGCCAAACCACCCTTTACAATTTACTTTACAAAGTGCCGGAACCCTATTGCCAAACCACACTTTACATAGTATCAGTCCCTACTGTCGGACCGCACTTTAAGCCATGTCGGATTGCACAATGTCCGAGCCCTACTGCCGGCCATGCTGAAACCCCTGTTTTGGTGGGATTGAGGTGCTGGATTACACAGTGTCGGACCCCTACTACCGGACCACACTTTAAGCCGTGCCGGATTACACAATGTCCGAGCCCTACTGTCGGCCATGCTGAAACCCCTGTTTTGGTGGGATAGAGCTGCCGGATTATACAGTGTCGGACCCCTACTGTCGGATTGCACTTTAAGTCGTGCCGGATTACACAGTGTCCGAGCCCTACTGCCGGCCATACCCAAACCCCTATTTTGGTGGGATGGAGGTGCCGGATTACACAGTGTCGAACCCCTACTGTTGGACTGCACTTTAACCCGTGCCGGATTGCACAGTGTCCAAGCCCTACTGCCGGCCATGCCAAAGCCCCTATTTTGGTGGAATAGAGGTGCACGGTTGCACAGTGTCGAAGCCCTCCCCATCATGTCGAAGCCCCTGTTTTGGTGGGATAAAGGATTTGACTAGGGTATTTGCATAGGAAGTATATTTTGGTAGAAAAAGTATATTTTGGTGGAAAAAGTATATTTTGGTAGAAAAAGTATATTTTGGTGGAAAAAGTGAGAGAAAAAGTTAGGTTGGGGCTGAGTTGTATAGAAAGTGTAGTCATGCTTTCTTTTTCTTTCTTTTTTTTTTCCAATAAATAACGCTCCTCTGAATGGTACCCAAATTAAACATTTTTATCCCCTAGTAGTCTTAAATTAAATATATTAATGAGTGTTTAAATAGGTCATCTGAATTAGAATTGGCCAATCGGTCAGGTCGATCTGAACTCCATCAAATATCGAGAATATCAAGAATCGACTGGTTCTCCCCATAAATTGGTCGGTTCAAGCTAGTCAGATCTTTAATAGAACCAATATGAACCACATCCGCATTTTTTTATGTTTTTTAATCACTGAAACGGCCGATTTTGGCCAGTTCCGCTCAATTGTATTAGAGAACCGACCTCACTAAAAAAAAAATTAGTTTTTTAAATTTTTTTGGATTCAAAATCCAAAGGGGCTATCCAGGTCCGGTACCTATCGGCTTTTTAAAGCCTTGATCTTAATAGTGCAAGTTTTGGGTTGGTTTTTTTTTTTAATCGATTTTGAGGCAATATTAGGCTATAAGATTGGGTTTTAGATTGGGTTTTAGTTTGTTTCTAACAGATTTTGTTGCTGATTTTGAGGCAATTTTGCGGCTATAAGATAGATACGACCAGCAAATCTTCAAATCCATGATCATTTCATGGACGCTGGTCTTTTTGGCGAAATCTCCCCATCCATGACCACAAACCGTTAAAGATCTTGAATTTCCATGTGATTCCATCTCTCCTGTTTGCATTCCAGCCAGCATTCCGGCTATTTTTGGCTAGAATCCGGGGGGATTTGGTTGGAATCTGTATGAAAAACAAACCCATTGTACACACTACTCAGAGACCTCAAACCTTGAAGATTCCGGTTAATCGAAAGTTGGGGGTGAAAACCGGGGATCTTGAGGCGAGTCGAACTATGTGATTCCTTCTTTTGTACAGGTGCTTCTCTTTGCCGTTCCTTTCTTTCTCTTGATATGCATTCCAGTAATTTTTATTTGAATTCGATTTTAGAAATTTATCAAAACAGACGGGTCCTCGTATGGTCAAGTCAGTGTGCCGTGACTTGCCGGAGCGGTCTCCCCCTAGGCCGAGTTTCTCCCAGTTGGGTATTCTACTAAGGGATATAAAGAGTTATCAAAAATTTTTTAAAAAAATTTAAATGTTGGATTGATTTTATAATCTTTTTTGGGATGAGCTTAGCAAAAGATAGTTTGAGATTTGTTTTTTTTTTCCTCTTTTGTTTTAGAATTTTTTAAGGCTATTTTTTAAAAAATATATTTTCTCTACATTTTTAAGTTTGTTTTAACTTTTTAAAGTTGCTTTAAGTTTCAATTTACTTTTATTACTTCTTGTTTTTTTTTAAAAAAAAAAATTTATTTTAAGACCAAAAGCCTTATGTTGGATTTTTCCAAGTAAATCGACAGGCTGGTCCCCACTCTTGGAGCCAACAATTATGGGTAGGAAAGTTCTTGGTTCAACTCGGCCCTCTCTTACTCTTGGAGCCAACAATTATTGGTAGGAAAGTTCTTGGTTCAACTCGGCCCTCTCTTGCTCAGACTTACTGGCTTCACCCACCTGATCCACCTAAGTAGGACCAGGTAGGCAAGACCTCCGGTTCCAAAAATGATCACATTCTATTTTCTAGGTAGAATTTCCCATATGCAGTATTGCAGACACCAAAAGTAAACTTTATAGATAGTCTCCTCCAATCAAACTTTTTTTTTTTTTAAAAGTAACTTTTACCTTAAAAACAAATTTATAGCATATACTCCCAATACAAAAAAATATACTTTTTTAGATGGATGAAAATGCCTTTTAAAATATTGTCGGACCAGAAACAAAAAATGTTGGACCAGGGGAACCTCTCTTCACCTTCTAGAGTAGAGTCCATCACGAGATTGCGAAACCGCAAAACAAACAGAAGCCAAAGTGCCAGAATGAGTAGGAAAGCGTCGAACCTTAGTTATGCAAGATCAAGCCACAACTCTTGGACCAAGTTATGGATGTGCCAAACTATGTGCAAGTTGCCGGATCCACAGTAGACAACTAAAGAGTACTTTTGTCAGAAAAAATTTATAACTCTTTAACTAGGGTATTTGCTCTAAAATCAAGTTTAAGAGTAAAAAATTCTGTAAGCTTATAAGGGTATATGCAATTTTACCCAAAGAAAAATACCAAACAAAAGGTTTTGCCCGTAAAAGAAGGAAAATAATGTAAAATAAATAAACAAAGAGCCAAAATAGGAGTTGACTCGACCATGGAAAATGGAGTTTTTCGTTAGGTTTTCCTGGAAAACGTTTAGAGTGAGAGAAGATGTTTCTCGAGTCCAAATGGAGAGCGTCACGCTTCCGCAAGCTTTATTCCATGTCGGCCTCTTTGGAGTTCGGACTTCTCAAGTCAATGTTTACAAAAATCTAATTTGGGCGTCACATTCAATATAGCTTTCCGCAATGCATACAAGTCCGCTCACAAAATTCCTTGCAGAGAGGGTGTAAACAGGTTGGACGTTTCTCTATCCCATGCGGCTGTCCGCCCCCTTCAAAATACACAGCGGATTCCCCAATTGTACACCTTCCTGTTTAACATTGCGAGGCTCATTTCCCTCTTATCAAAGGACAGTTTACCCCGGTGAACAAGCCCTTGAAGCAGATTATCAACTACTTCCACAACGATGGGAACTCAGGCTTTTGATGATCAGTCGTACTTTCCCAAGGTATTCGCTTTTCCCTTTTCCCTTTTCCCTTTGTTTCTTTCTTTTATTTGTCCTACTTTCTATGGGTATTCGCTTTTCCCGTTTCCCCCGTTTTCTTTCTTTTTTTTTCTCTTATTTTTTTATTTTTTATTATTTGTCCTACTTTCTCATGGTATTGGCTTTCTCTTCTTTTTTTTTTTCTTTTTTTTTTTTTTTCTTTCTGGGTGAATCAATATCCGGCGATATTCACTTTTTCCCTTTTTCTCATTTTTTTTTTTCTGGGTGAATCAGTATCCGAGGATATTCACTTTTCCCTTCTTTTCTCGTTGTTTTGGTCTTCTGGTAAATCAATAAGGACTACTATTTTTGGGTGAATCAGTAACGACTACTACTCCCTGATTAGCTATACTCTTAATTTCAGAGTTCTCTTCCAGAGGACCACTCTTGAGTAGGCTTAATTTCAGAGTTCTTCTGGGATCCGGGAGAGTTATTCATAGGGGAGAGTTAGTTCATAGAGATGGATTATTTTACATGGGAGAGAGATTTTTGGCACTTAAATAGGTAAAAAGGGGGTTCACAAAAAAAAATAAAAAAAAACGCCGGGTACTGTAAACACTGACGACACGTTCTCTTAGGGCCCAATGTGTACCTCCTTTCCATGAAACAAACATGGCAAGGTGGTGGGGAAGAACTTCCAACTGGAGAAAAATAACCTTCTATTTCTTTGATCGATAAACGGTGCTCAATAATTGAACAACGTTGTTTATTGGGGTGTTTGGAAAATTAAATTACTGCCAGTAACCGGTGATGTCATTTGAAAGAAAAAAGGGCCCAAAGAAAATGACGAGTACTTTTGCAGCCCAAGAAAAAAAATCAAATCTGTATTTTTACCACCCAAGAATAAAAATCAATTCCGTATTTTTGTTTTTGTTGTGACTTTTCTTGTAACAAAGACAAAATGGCATCATATACAATCTCTTTTATGTGATCGTTGCAAAAATATCCCCGCCAGTGATTTCATTTAAAAGAAAAAAGGGCTCGATGACAAGGAAACTTTTACCACCCAAGAAAATCCGTATTTTTATTGATACCTTTTTGTAGCAAAGATAAAATGGCCTCATCAATTTTTTTTTTTTTTTTTTTTTCTTTTTTTTTTTTTTTTTTTTCTATTATCTTGCCGAAAATATCTCAGTTTTTTTATCTTTGCCCTTTTTCTATTATCTTGCCGAAAATATCTCAGAGTCTTAAAATTTATACATTGAGGGTACAAAGCCCATCTTCCTATTCTCAAACAAGGACCTGTATACTGCTGATTTCTGATATTACCACTATGCTGCACATCATCTCAACCATTAGTCGTTAAGAATCTCATGATTGAGATGAATAATTTCCTTCAAACTGCCTTAAGGATATAAGGGCTATTTCTGTAATTTTGGTGGACAAATCATCAAAACCAGCTGTACATATTATTATATTAATTAACACCTAAGATTAGTTAATGGCCCTTTAACAAACTAACAAAGTCAGATTGGTTTCGTTTTCAGTCCAATTTAAATATCAGTGTTAATTATGTCGTTGTTTTTGGTGGGAAATGCCAAAAGAAATGGTTGAGAAAAGTGGCCCTAAAAATAGGAAAATTGTTTCATGCTCGCTGGACCCATGAGTACATGCCGTCCAGAAAGTGCAAAGCACCCATTTTACGCCGTTCAAAAAGTACAAAGCATCTATTTTTTGCGAGTAGGTGTTTAATATGAAAACAATAGAAACTAAGGGTCCAAATGTATTTTTACTAGAATTATTACTTCTAATTTTTAAAATTTACGTATTTTTTCATGATCTTTATCTTCATGTTAGAGATTATATGTGTTTACAAATTAAGTCCAAAAATTCATTTAAAAAATATATTTATTAATAAGCCCATATTTCTACATATGCGAGCTTGGCCGCATATAAACCAGGTCGATAAAAGATCGATAAAAGAAAGGGATGGTAATGCGTGGACAATTAAAAGATGCACAAACGCTTTTTAATGGCTCAAATTTAACCATCCTCATCAAAGAGTCAAAAATCAATTTTATGTTTTAATTCTAATTTTTATTTCAAAAATGATATATTTATAGTTGAGGTCATTTTAAAATTCAGAAAAAGGTAAAATAGAAGAGAGGGATTTATGGCAAAAAAAAAAAAGAGTGAAAAAAATATAAATCGTACACAAAAAAATGATCGATCGATCCTACATTTTTATATTTTTTAGAATTGTTTTAATTTTAATATGTTATACACACAACTCGGCTACCCAAAGTGTAATGAACTATAGAATTAGGGGTCGTAATGGACCAGGTGGCCTGGTGCTCGAGCCTAGGCCACAAGACAAGACCGGCCTAATTCAGTGCATCCTGATTTTCATTTGTCTTTTTGTTTCTTTTTTAGCACGGCAGGGCTTAGAGCCGGACTAGCCCGGCTCCGCCGGCTGCCAAACTTAATACGAAATATGTGAAAAGATTTATACTATTTAAATAAAGATAAAATCCATGATCTCCATAGATTTTCCATTTGAATATACAATGGAGAGTGATTAATTTCATAGTAATAATAAAATTTCAGTTGAAAGAATTTGGATGGCTACATGTTAGTCCTTTACTTCAAAGAGTTTCGTGGCAAGGCACATTAGTTGTTCCTTTGACTTGGTCGATGACTCGAAAACAAAGTGAATTCATACTCCCACGGGAGTGTTCTGTGCATTTAATCCCTCAGACAAGAGACAAATTTTTTCCATCTAAAATTTTGAAAATGTATGGTATAGGGAGGTCACAATTACTTGTAACTATCCTTTTTCTCCATCTAAAATTTTGAAAATGTATGGTATAAGGAGGTCACAATTACTTGTAACCATCCTATGTGAAATTAAATAGCTTGGGTATATCACAAAGTTACGTGGTCAATGAAGTCAATAAAATAAATGCAGCCACCCAATTTCACATCCAATGCTCAAGATTAATTGTGAACACCCTAGGTAAATGGTCTTATTATATATTCTATTTATTTTGGTATAGATCAATTACTTATAACCATGTATTCTATTTATTTTTGGTATAGATCAATTACTTATAACCATGTGTATGTAAAATTTGATATCTTAGGTGTGTCACAAAGTTTCGAGAATAAATGCAGCCGCCCAATTTCACATCCAATGGTCAATATTAATTGTGACCACTCTGGTCTCGTTATATACTTTCCGTACATAAAATGCTTATTCATTTTGATAGGTCAGTTGCTAAATTGAGTTGGTTACATCCCGCGGGAGCACATAATTTGAGGGCGTAGAAACAAGCAACTGCGAAAAGCATGCCTGGTTTTTTGCAAAGAATCTTTTCCTATAGAGATTCCTTGAATCTCTGTCGGTGGTCTTGCTGGCTTTCCAACACTTTTTAGAAGGTTAAAGGGATATTAAACACAAAATATAGAATAATAGAGAGAATAGAGATTCTTTGAATCTCTGTCTGTGGTCTTGCTGGCTTTCCAACACTCTTAGAAAGTTAAAACGGCCTCAAAATATAGAATAATAGAGAGAAGAATCATGAAACTATTTCTAAAAATATGAATCTGCCCTTTTATTGTGTATCCTTTGAATCTCAACAACGATTCATGAAACTGTTTCTAAAAATATGAATCTTCCCTTTTATTGTGTTTCCTTTGAATTTCAACAATGGAGAGGTTACAGAGAGAGAGAGGGTTGGGTCCTCTCCCTTTTAAATATTGTACAGTTGTGGAGAGGTTACAGAGAGAAAGAGGGTTGGGTCCTCTCCCTGTTAAATATTGTAGAGTTGTGAGAGAGGGTTGGGTCCTGTCCCTTAAAATATTGTAGAGTTGTGAGAGAGGACCGTGAGTCCTTTGTTTTGTGCTGTGGTTTGTAAGTATGGGTGGTGCATTTGATGGACAGGAGAACGATGTATCCTTGGAGAAGCAGAAGGCCGTGGACGATTGGCTTCCGATCACCTCGTCTCGCAATGCGAAGTGGTGGTACTCTGCCTTCCACAATGTCACAGCCATGGTCGGCGCTGGAGTCCTCAGCTTGCCCTTTGCCATGGCCGAGCTTGGATGGTACCTTTTTTCTTTGTTTTTCAATCTCTCTCTCAGTGTAGTCATCGGAGCCTTATCCCGACGACTTACTGTCTTCTACATTCTCATAGTCAAAATATTGCCATGCTTCTGGTTGAATTTATTTTCAATCGTCTCTTTTTCTTAGTTTTAAGTTTGTTCTTATTCTTCTTTGCCACTTCATCTTCTGTTTGATTTCTTGCCTTCTACAATTTTGCTATTCTCTTTTTCATATTTAATACTTTTTCCGATTCCATAGTCTCTCATGCATGTTAGTTTTTTGTGTTAATGAACAAGATCAGATGTTTTCTACAATTAACAATGTCTCATCTCATTTGAAATAGAATATATATCTCTCTCACTTTTTACTTTTGGTTGGACTGCTATATTTTCAGGGGTCCTGGTGTTGCAATTCTCGTCATCTCATGGATTATAACACTATACACCCTCTGGCAAATGGTTGAGATGCATGAGATGGTCCCCGGAAAGAGGTTTGATCGATACCATGAATTGGGGCAACATGCTTTTGGAGAAAAGCTCGGCCTCTGGATTGTGGTGCCACAACAACTGATTGTGGAAGTCGGGGTCGACATAGTTTACATGGTCACAGGGGGAAAATCCCTGAAAAAATTCCATGATACAGTGTGCCCTGGATGCAAACCTATAAAGCTCACCTATTTCATCCTCATCTTTTCCTCTGTTCACTTCGTTCTCGCTCAGTTACCTAACTTCAATTCCATCTCTGGGGTCTCTTTGGCTGCAGCAGTCATGTCTCTAAGGTACCATTTCTTTTTGAAATCTAACCTTGATGGATTTGCCTTGCCCTTTTCATGTTTATCAGTTTAATAGGTCTGGTTCAAATCAGCTCATATATTAAAATGTCTTCTCTGTGAATTTTTTTGTTTTTGCTTACTTTTCATGTGATGGGGCTTCTGACCTTGGACATGTTTCCTTTCTCAAGAAATTAAACTTCATAAACCAGCTACAAGACTTTCCTGTTTTTTCCATTCATTTTTCACCATTAGTTTCGCATGTACTTTTGTCTTATGGTATATATTTGTATATGTATTTGTAAGCGTGAGAATGTGTTTGTGTGTAACTGTGTGCTTTGCCGAAATAGCAAGATTCCGGTTAGTGCTTAATTTTCCTCAAAAGTTATAGACTCAAAATTTTTTAGAGGCACCCACTGTTTAAGTTCAGCTAACATGCATGTCACAAATTACAAGGGTTTTATCATTGCCCTCGAAAACTGAATATTTGTGTCCCAAAATGATGCAGTTACTCAACAATAGCTTGGGTTGGATCCCTTGATAAAGGGAAGCAACCAGATGTAGACTATAGTTACAGGGCTTCATCAACTTCTTCTGCAGTATTTAACTTCTTCAGTGCACTTGGAGAGGTCGCCTTCGCGTATGCAGGTCACAATGTGGTTTTAGAGATTCAAGCAACAATCCCTTCATCACCTGAGAAGCCATCAAAGAAACCCATGTGGAAGGGTTGTGTCGTTGCTTACATTGTTGTGGCCCTTTGCTATTTCCCTGTCTCTCTAATTGGTTATTGGGCCTTTGGAAATAAAGTCGAAGAAAACATTCTCCTTAGCTTGAATAAACCACGGTGGCTAATTGCAGCTGCTAACATGTTTGTGGTTGTCCATGTTATTGGAAGCTACCAGGTTTCTATAGTTTTCCCTCTTTTCCTCTTCTACTTGCTGCTTGCTCTTTGTCCTCTCCATTTTGAACTCCTAAATAGAACCCTTTTATGATATATAACTTTGAAATTCCTCCTTATTGTGAGGGCTAAGGAGATGTGTATTCTGAAATGTGTGCAGATTTATGCAATGCCTGTGTTTGACATGCTTGAAACTGTGCTGGTAAAAAAGCTTAAGTATACTCCCAGCATAGTGCTACGGTTAATTACTCGCAGCAGTTATGTTGGTAAGTAAAACAAACAATTCAGTTCCTTCAGTTTGATTGATGAGACATTGTGTTCGCAGGCAAGGATCTGATTAAATTCTTTTTTTTGCTCTTTCTTGTGGATCAGCATTCACATGCTTTGTTGCTATAAGCCTTCCTTTCTTTGGTGGACTTCTTGGGTTCTTTGGCGGATTTGCTTTTGCCCCAACAACATATTTTGTAAGAGAAAAGAGGCCCCCTCTCTGTGTTTTGATATCCCTATAATTCTCTCTCAATGTTTTAGCATTGTCTCCTAATGTCTATCGATTTTGCAGCTTCCATGCGTAATGTGGCTTGCTGTCTACAAGCCGAAAAGGTTCAGCTTCTCTTGGATAGCAAACTGGGTATGCTCTAAACTCTGACTAGAGAATGTTGGATTGTACATGTCTGAGATAACTGTTGATCAAATGTCCCATAGGCTTTGGCTTAGTGATAACCATCTTGGATCGTAAGATATCTTGGATAGTAAGATGGAGGCCAATGGTTCAAACGTCTAAATTTTGTCCCAAACATTCAAAAGTTGTTAATATTCCTCTGTTTGCTGGACATTTCTGCATCACATACGATAGTTCAATCTGATAATTTTTTTTGTTATTTTTGCTTGACAGTTCTGCATCATCCTTGGTGTATTACTCATGATCGTTGCTCCTATTGGTGCACTAAGGCAGATTATCCTTAACGCTAAGGGCTACAACTTCTACTCATGATTAATGTGAATTTCCTTCTTATGAGGAACCTCTACATGACGATGGGCACAATGGTTTTACAGTTAAACATGTCTGCAGTTTTTTTAATCCTCTTGCACTGTGTGTGTTTATTTGGCTGGTTTGTGCATCGGTCTATATTTGGCTGGTTTGTGCATCTGTCTCTTTCTATAATGTCAAAAGCAAGGAATGATACAATGACATTTAGTTGTGGGATAGAGAATCGCAATCTTTCTTTCCTTCCTTTCTGTTTACATGAAGTTTCAGATCATACAGTCATACACATTGGGCTCATCCTTATGAATATTAATAATATTATGGGCCACACATGGCATATTATTCAGTGCACTGTATCTGATGTAGTAAACTTAATAACATCAAAGCATTGTGGTCCCTTTATTCTGAATATGCTTACGCTCATCCCTACTGTGTCTCTTCCTATATTGAGATCTTGAAAAGATATTCTGGAACGACCTCAAACCTTAATAAAGCAATAATTCAATAACAAACGAGATAAAATGAATCAAAGGGATTTCTGATCTGCCCGTAACTATAATAATTAATGCCTCACCATGGTTAGTGAGGGAATGACCAGGCAAATAAAAAAATTTGCAATAAATATGTTTTGATCCAGAAAGTTGAAACCCAAAAAATCAGGGACAGAATACATATCACCCAAATTGAAATAAGCTAAATAATGAATATTTTGTTATTTGGCTAGTGAAAAATGAGATATGTACATAGATTATATAAAAAATAGGACACGGTTTCTAGGAGTCCATGTAGAAATGTTTCACCTCTTAAAACTCTATGTTAAGATGGATTTTTTGACTTAATATTTAAGGACATGCAATATCTAACATGGAGATCATGAAAATGAAAAAATAAATAAAATTTGAAAATTAAAAATAATAATTCTATTAATTAAACATTTGGACATATTGCTTTTAAATGGGCCACCTATTTGCGTCCATCTTTAAGAAGGATGCTTTATACCTTGGGGACCGCAAACGTAGAAATGCGGTCCTTGCCGTATGAAACAAATTTTCAAAATAGGAATATGTACATTGAGACCATTGGCTTTTGATACAATGAATACCCAATTTTGACTATTAGATTTGAAAACATGCGGTTGAGTATGTGTCATTGATTAGGCGCAAACTCCAAAATAAAATTTCTTGAATATTGTGACACTTTCATATATTGGATGTTTGAATCTTTAAGATTTTCAGAAGTAAATAGAGCTATATCAACATGCAAGTTGGGTTTCTAACTCAATCAGAAATATCCACAAACATATGACATGCATTTCTTATCAAAATACCAAAATAACCACAAAAAGTTGCTCTAAATTCTTTAGAACTCAAGAAGATGTACAACTATCACTAACTTTGTAATCCACTAAATAATCTCAACGAAAAATCAATTGCAACTATTGATAAACACTTCTAAACAATCCTAATAGAATTTCTAGCAAGCATGCACCCATCATAAACCATTCCAACAATATAAGATAATGCCCAATACCTTTTCATACAACATTTCTCAACCTTCTTCTAGTATTTCTAGATGCAAGAGATGAAAAAGAAAGTTGAAACAAACTCACCAAATTTGCATGAATATGAAAGCACAGTCTAATAGCCTTTCTAAAGAGAGAATGTGGCTGAAAATGAGTTTTTCAGTAATATACAATACAAGTTTCCTGTAAAACAAAGTTGAATGGGGTATCAAACTTGATTTGGAAAAAGGATATGACAGAGTTGAATGGCCAGTGCTTTTCTAATTTCTAAAAAATATGGGTTTTGAGAAAAAATAAAGTTGCATATTTGGATGTTTATCCTTCTCCCATTTCTTTGTGCTTTTTAAGGGAAGTCTTACTACCTTTTTAAAGGCTTCCAGGGATCTTCGCCAAGGGAATCTTATGTTACATTCCTTTTTTCCATCTATGCATAGTGGTTTAGTCTGATGATTTAAAAAGTGGAAGGTAGTGGTTATTTTTTTAGTTTTATAGTGGCTAAGATGGACCCTAAAGTCTCTCATTTATAATACACAGATGATACTCTTATCTTTTGTGAAGCAAACCAGGTGCAAGTTAAAAACATTGCATATTTTTTAGATTGTTGTGAGGTGGCATTGGGATTGAAGGTCAATTTCCATAAGACCTCTTTGATAGGTATTAACTGTCCTCTGTCATTGATTCAATCTGTAGCTAATCTTTTGGGATGTTTGGTTGGCTCCTTCCTCTTTTCTTACTTGGGAATGCCATTCTCAAATTCTAAGCATTCTATTGCGGTTTGGGATAACGTGATAGAGATAGTCCAAGTGAAATTGGAGCGTTGAAAGCCGAAACATGTCTTTGAGTCCAAGTAAAATTGGAGCTTTGAAAGCCGAAATACCTGTCTTTGGGTGGTAGTGTTACTTTGTTAAGCTCTTGTTTAGCGAATTTACCAATCTATTTGATGTCTCTTATCTATATGCCAACCTCAGTCATAAAGAAAATTGAAAGAATGATGTGTAATTTTCTGTGGGGGACTTTTGGGGAAGAACAAAAGTATCATTTATTTAGGTAGGATCGTGTTTGTACCCCTAAGTATGAAGGTGTCTTGGCATTAGAAAGTTAAAATATATGAATGAGACATGCTTTGTAAATGGTGGTAGAGAAGTCGTCATTATACAGATCAGCTTTGGTTTTAGGTCTTATCCTCAAAATATGGTCTCTGTGGAAACCCATTTATAGGTGCCGACCGATGATTGCAAGTTACTTTCATTGGAATGTTGGTTGTGGTGATAATATTTTCTTTTGACACCCTATGAAGCTTACTTATCTGGAACTTTTTGCTAAAGTTTCGTAACGTAATGCTAAGGTTTCTGATATGGTTGAAGTTAGTGGTTTCCTTGATGGTTGGAGTATTAATTTCCCATATAATAGGCTGAGCGAAGATACTTATCTTCAATGAAAACATTTGATGGGTATCTTGGATTCGGTTTATATTTCCCAGGGGGCCATGAATAAAGTGATTTGGGAAGTCGAATTTGATGGGGTCTTCTCGATCAAGTTTTATTATAGGCTCTTCTTCCACGATAGATGGAGATCGTCTTTACCTGCTGCAGCCAAGGGATAGAAATTGCCTATTCCCCATAAGGTGCAAGTGTTTTTATGGTTAGCTAGCCAAAATAAAACTTTGACGGTGAACAATGTGATTAAGAGGGGTAAAGTTTTACCTAACATTTGTTTGACGTGCAAAGCGAAAAAGGAAACTGAGATTATTTATTCATCCACTGCCACGTTGCCTCTAGAATTTGGTGTTGGTTGTTTGGTTTACTTAGGGTTCATGCTTCACTGTCCCATTTTGTGATGGGTATAGTGTCACAGTTAGCCTTTAATCATTTACCTTCCATGGGTATTTTGGTTTAGCAAATAGTGAAAGGGGCAACGTTATGGGAAATTTGGTAGTAAAGAAATAAATGGACTTTTGAGGGAGAGAGTATATCTTTTGACAGATTGCTTACTAAAATCAAATTGTCTATTTGGTCATGGTTCTCGGTTACTAAGGAGGGTTAGGGGATTTCACAACCAGATGTTAATGTTGAATTTACTAAATATGTTTTTGATGGGTAGAGTAAAAATGTGACCCAGGAGTATTTGGATGGCACCAGAGAGTGGGGTTTTTAAGTTAAATTTTGACGGGAGTTCTTTGGGTGATCCAACTTTGGCAGGCATTGGGGGTGTGTTGCATGACTGTTTTGGAGAGGTCATCTTCTCATATTCTAGCCCTATTGGTTTAGCCACAGCTAACCAATTGGAGTTATTGGCTTTGCTCCAAGGACTTAAATTTTTTATCTCTAGAAACCTTGGGAGTAACTGCATTATTGAAGGGGACTCTTTGAATGTAATTAGATGGTGCAAGAAGAAGTTGCGCATTCCTTAGAAACTGAGGTCTAGTTAGCTACAGATTATAGATTTGGTGGCTCCACTCTCAATTTCGTTTTACCATGTTTATCTTGAAGCGAATTCCTTGGCTGACTCTCTTACTAAAGGGGGGCTTCATTGCCTGCTCTGGCTATTTCTTCATATGTAATTTGTTTTGAGTATATTTGTTTAATAAAGTAAGGAATATTTGTTAAAAAATGTTTCTTGTAAAACAGTTGTTAGTAAATAATCTAGAGAGAGAAAGCTTCTTCGAGATGCAATACGGTGTTGGACTTGATCATGTGACACTGGCGGGCTCTCATAGATATGAGAGGCACGTCCCTTGCACTCAGGTCACAAAGAAGCATAAGAGATAAAGACGTTTTAGGGAAAGAAAGAGAGCTCGTGCTTGGTGCTCCAGCCTCCCAAAACCCTTTCCATAAATATAGCTACAAAAGAGAAAAATAGAGAGACACATGTAGAGAGAGAAATGACAAGTGTTGCCTTTCAATGGCCACTTGTCCCTCTCTCCACATGGGTCGCTCTTATTCCCTACACAAAGCACTAGCTGATTTTAAAATATAGGTTAAGTAGGGTAGAAAAGAAGATAAATAAATTAAAATTTTTGGGCCCTTATTTTGTAAATATTTGAAATCACAATTTTTTCTTAGTTTCCTCCACTTGTTTCAAAATATTTATAAAACAATCATAAGAACTTTTAGTAACAATATAAAAGTTACTTGAGTTGTACATCCTCAAACAACAAATCCAACCACACATATGATCCATCCACTCAATGGCATCAATTGCACACATTCCCACGCTCATCAATGGTCATGACGTATTACATGATCATCAACTATATCATGAACTTCAACTACGTGCTTTTAGATTAGTGGACTTTCTCTCTCTCGCTAGTGTTCTCTGAAAAGCATCTGACACTCACACCATGATACATACATCACTAAGAGGAATCTTTGTCACCTAAAAAATGTGAAGAACTATCAATACAGCGAGTCATGCCATGATCCCATAAGGATCCTCAAACAGTCCAAATTAGACATCGCAAAGTGGAAAATGGTGTCTATAAGACATGACAACGGAAGGTCATGCTCAGTGAGTCATGTCAAAGACAATTGTCCAATTTGGCCATCACAATTTAGATAATAGATTCAAAATACTGTTAGTCGGATGTCATGTTCAACTGTCACAACCCCGCCCCCTGACCCCTGCCAGAGGGCGACAGAGTGCGGGAATCGCGACCAGAGGTTGCGAACGTCACTCGGGTGGGAGTGGCTCAACACATAAAAACACAGAATCAAGTACAAACTATTGGAGAAAACTAGAATAAATTCATTCAACAGATAAATACCAATTCAAATGTACAACCATCTCATTCATTCAACATCACAAAAGTTCTTACAATTCCTTCA